TAAATAATAATAATGATGAAAAAAATAAAAATAGAATAAAAATAATAGTCGTACAAAATATAGTAGTAGTACTAGTAATAGTCCTTCTTTTTTGTTACTCATAATAATCGTAATGATCATAATAGAGACTTAATAGAGAGCTGTTTATGAAAAGCTTAAAACTAAATACCCAATGAGCACCAGGCAACGTGGTTATCTAAAAAACTTAGAAAAAGCAGATGCTCCTGGCGCCGATGTCTGCGACAACCATTGTTGCATTTGTTGCCACCCATATCAAAACGATATGCAATGTGGGTGGCCAATGCGGCGGACCCGCTGCCCAACCTAGCTCTCCGCCAAGCCCATCTGCCGCTCCGCCACGGCCCGTGCAGCCTACTTTGCTTCACGGGCCGACTCGCTTCGCGCCGCGATCTCAACATCATCACCCGTCAGCACGACGACCAGCGAATCCAGGTTATCGCCAACGGGCTCCCACTCTGGGGAGGTGTCCAGCTGGCTGTCGACACCACCTGCCCTCGATGCCACAGGCTGCCCACGGCGCCACCAGCGCAGCATTATCGGCGGGGCCCGCCGCATCGTTCGTGCAAACATAGAGCGCACTTACCCCCGTAACCACTACTGGCTTGCTCCGCCGCAGTCCGCCTCAGGGGAGGGGGGAACCTCTTAGCGCGCTTCCGCGAGGAGCTCGGCCCCGGCCCGTCGCTGAGATCGGGGGCCGGAGGCAACTCGAGCAAGGAGGCAGCGAAGGCTCGTTGTGCAGCGACTGCGAGCAGGCCGGACCATCGCGCCACCCAGGCGGTGATCGCGGCAGGTCAGGTGCCTGGGGACGGCGGTGGCGCGATGCGGCACCAGGAGGCGCAGGAACTGGACTGTCTCAGTGTTGAACCTGCCGCCGGTCTCGGTGCCGAGGACGACGAGGCGGCATCGTCGGGCACGGCCGAGCTCGGGGTAGGTGTTGTGACGCTTGCGCCTGGCAGCGGCATTCACTGCGCTACCTGGCAGGGTGTCCGCACAAGGGTGGGCCTCGCCTCGTCGTGTAGGGGAGACACGATTGTGGCATCAAGCGCGAGCTGGGACCCGTGCCACAGAGGGAGCCCATTGGCGACAACCTCTATGCGCCGTTCATCCGCGACCGGCACGTCGCGACCCTGGCGCCGCTTTCGCGGCAAACGCGCACGACGGCATGCTCGAGGGGCAGCACGCGCGTCGATAGCACCCCGGCGGTGGCACACGCCGCGCGGCGCAAGTGGCTAAGGCATGCGCAGGCACCGCAACAAAAGGACGCGGAAGAGGGCGCCGGGCACGGTCACCTCATCGCACGTCGGCAGGACAGTGTGAAGACACGGGCAGCAAAGGGCCCGGCTTGCGAGAGCAGTAGCGCACGGGACGAGGAGAGAGTTGAGAAAGGTGCGTCTCGAATGCATGCTCATCCCATGCTCGGGCAGCCAGCCTTTGAAAGGCCAGGGCCCGGGGTCCTCGCCCAGGCGGTGTGCGTGGGCTGGGGGTGGGCCCGTGCCCTCGGTATCCCAATCCGGGGCTGGACTACTTGCTTTCGCAGCCGCAAGGTCTTTCATGGTCTTTCGCAGCCTCGTTAGTGTCGCTGCCCCTCCATGGCACCGCCAACGTCGATGGCCACTCGACCACCCACCTACTGTAACGTGCCACCTCGGCGAGCTTGGTCCAGGGGTCCCGCTGGTTAGGGTTGGGTGCCGGCGATCAGCCAATTCAATGGGCACCCCCGCCGTGCTTGTTTGTTCCAGGATGTTTCTTTTTATCCAGCAACCGGAAAGCAAGATCACCTCCGACCAAAGCTGCGAGGCGAGCAGTGTCGGGCAAGGGACTCGAACGCACAGCAAGCCCAGCATGTCGAGCGATGGTGTCATCCAGAGACTACTGAGAGTGAGAACCGAAGCCAGGAATCAAATGTAGAGTATGGCTCAGGCTCACCAGCCACTGTCAACTATCCTAAATTTCCTAAATATAGGACACACTGGCATACATGGAGGATTAGAGGCACATTGACATGGCGACTTGAAGGAATCAGATTTTCGAACAATGTTGCTCAGTGGATACGAGTACACAGCCTATGGCCTCTGTTGTGCACAGGATTGTCGTGCCCTCAACAACAATCGCAAACCTGAAACTCCCAAGCATTGGACACGCTGCAAGCCCAGCGATCTGGTCATTTTCTCCTCAACTGCATCGGTCTGCTGGCCAGGACTCCTTTGAGAGCGCTGACTGCAACGGCATGCTGTGCAGCTACATGTTTGCATGGTGGTGTAGCAAGTGTACCGACAATTGCCTGGCTGTTTCCACTGGCTCTTCACCAGCATCTGGTCACTGTTTTGGCGTCGCATCTGCCATGCTTTCGCAGGCCTCGAGAGGCGCCATTCGGCGCACACCAGCTCCACGCTGTGAAGCCTTTGACCTGTGCATATTCAAGCAGCGTCTTTGGCTAGTGGCAACGAAGAGGCGTCTCGTGCTAGAATATCGCCCAGAGCTCCCGAGAGACGTCGCATTCATGTCACGAAGTTCTGAAGAGACCACGGTTGCCACATGGATCTACATCAGTAGAATTATTTCGAGGGGTTTGTGATGCTGTGAGGATACAGCAATTCGGCTTTCTTACTAATCCGGCCTGTGTCTCTGTCCCAGGCACTGACTGATGGGTCAAAATGACTGCGTGCGGGGTTGATACGAGAAGTTGCACATGTCACGGTATCCTCGGTGGCAATGGCTTTGGCTTTGCATTTGGGGCTGCCGCAGCAGATACGCGAGAGAGACCTGTTTCGGGCCGTCGGGGGCCCCTGAGGTTTTGAGGACTTCGCCCAGCCTTGGCCGCGCTCAACTTCTTCCTCGGCCATGGGTGACATGGACGGTTGCAGCCATCATTAGAATCGAGAATGGGCTGCGGCATCGACCTTGTCCTCGACTCGACCCTTCAATGTTGTCGTGCGCAATGAATTTTGTTTACTCGTAAGGCTCCAGCCTTGCTTCTAATCAGTGTTGATCTTGTTCTGCTTCTGGTAGTCCACGCCATTTCTTTGTGCCTTGTGCTTTGGTCACCAGCCCCAAGGTGCTTGCAGGTCGGTGGCAGCAGGATTCACAATGCTCTTGATGATAGTCATAGTCGTCATAAGAATAACGACAAACAGCAATTATCGTAGCCAGAGTCGTAATCACGGTAGTGCCACAATAACAAGAATCATCATCATGACCATCAGCGGTTCAAAAACATCCTAAGAGGTGGCCTTTGTGACGGCTGCTCTCAAGCAATACCTGAGCGGACGATGTTGGTAGACTCCACTTGCAACCTGCCTGAATAAGGCTCTACCTTCTGAACATTAGAATAACAGTTACTACCATGTTTATCATCGTTAGATACAATCATCGCCCTGTTATCATCACCTGCGTAATTATCATCATGGTCATCATATTGTCATTGTTGTTTTCTCACTATTACAGTTACATTTTACCATCCGAACCTAAGCCTTTTTCTTCTTGCAAGCCGCAGTCAGGCAAGGTTGCTACCCACATCGTGAGCAACCTCGGACTACCAGCTCCATCCGCTAGTGCCTCATCCGACCCTTGTAGTTGGGTTTCAGAAAATTCCCGTGGTCTGTGAAGGGGCTTTAGGTTCCTTATGTTTAGACACTCCTACCTGGCCCACATGCGTTAGGATGTCAGAGAGCTAAACCAAAGCAAAGGTGAACCATCAAGATGGTTTGAACGTCTGTCAGTTCTGCGGAAGCCCCACCACAACGCAAGTAAAAGCCTCTCTGTTCTCCGAGGTGCTCGAGGGGCGCGCATGTTGCAGTGGCTGGGCAGCTGCATTGTCCGGCGGCACGGCCTCGGAATCGGCGCGAAGAAACTGAAACGCGCCTCGTGGCATGTCAAAAGCATTGGCGATCGACGCTTTTTCGAGCCGCCGTTTCTCAGAGAATATCAGCAGACTATGTGTGCCTGCCGAAGCTCAGGCTGTTCTGAAAGCCATCTGCGAACGGTATCTCACGATGTTGAACTCTGTGGGCAGCAATCCAATACACGATGATGCTGACAGGATCTGAAAGTATCGTGCGTTGCTTTCGGCGCGGAGGGCAACTTCCCGCTCTTCTCGCAGAGGGGATATGTTTGAGAACACAGGAAACTCCTCCAGGCAACCCTCCGTACAACTCCATGTTAAGGTATCCCTATAATGAAGGACGACTATTGCTGCAGTTATGATTACTATTACGATTGTTCCTGTATACTACCACAGCAATTAAGCCTAAGGCTATGTAAAGAACACTTCAACCCTGAGGGTGTTTGGGGAGGAGGCTGTGTGTCTCGCACAGCTTCAGCACACTGTCTATGCTGACAGGACCTGAAAGTGTCGTACGTTTCTCATGCAGATGTGGTTGGAAAAACGAAAAGCCATTCGCATTCGCTGTGCTTCCGGCAGAAAGAACAGAGGGGAAGTGTTTGAGAACACAGGAAACTCCTCCAGGCAACCCTCCGTACAACTCCATGTTAAGGTATCCCTATAATGAAGGACGACTATTGCTGCAGTTATGATTACTATTACGATTGTTCCTGTATACTACCACAGCAATTAAGCCTAAGGCTATGTAAAGAACACTTCAACCCTGAGGGTGTTTGGGGAGGAGGCTGTGTGTCTCGCACAGCTTCAGCACACTGTCTATGCTGACAGGACCTGAAAGTGTCGTACGTTTCTCATGCAGATGTGGTTGGAAAAACGAAAAGCCATTCGCATTCGCTGTGCTTCCGGCAGAAAGAACAGAGGGGAAGTGTTTGAGAACACAGGAAACTCCTCCAGGCAACCCTCCGTACAACTCCATGCCAAGGTATCCCAATATCAAGGATGACTATTGCTGCTGTTATGATTACTATTACGATAGTTCCTATTTACTACCACAACAATTAAGCCTAAGGCTATGTAAAGAACACTTCAACCCTGAGGGTGTTTGGGGAGGAGGCTGAGAGCTTCAGCACGCTGTCTGTTACCCGAGCAGCACCAACAGCGCAAAGGATGCCACCATGCCTGTGATTTCAAGGCAGCCCATTTTCAACCGTTGCGAGGTTCTTTTATATACTGCAAAACACAAGACAAACTACTGCCGGATGGTCGAGAAACAGTTTGTGCTCAGACCCATGCCGTTGTTAGCTGCGTCCAGCCTGGGTCAAAAAAAGCTGTTAACTCGGCAAGATGTGTAATTCATCTACTGGCCCTGTGGGGGACAAATCAATTGCAGTGTGGTCTACTGAAGCAAAGAGACACGGGGACCGTGGTCATCGTGGCGCTGGTCGTTCCGGTCACCGTCTCTGTGACCGTCTGCGTAGTCTCTGTACCTGTCCACGTGGTCTCTGTGACTGTCGACGAGCTTGTGGCGGTGGCTGTGGTAGCTGTAGTCGTTTCCGTAGAGCTGGTCGTTGAGAACGTCGTTGATGACGACGTCGTTGATGACGACGTTGTTGATGACGCCGTTGTTGATGACGACGTTGCTGATGACGATGAGGAAACTGTTGATGAGGAAGTTGTTGACGACAAGGTTGTCGACGATGTAAGTGTTGTGGAGGTTTCGGCTGCAGGCCCGGTCCAAATCGCCACCTTACCGCCTCCCCCCAACGTAGCAATCTTGGAGCCATCACCTGCCATGGAAATCCGATCCATATCGTGCGAGAAAGCAAATTGCGAGAAACCCGTTTCCTCCGACCAGGTGTCGCCGCCATCAGTGCTCTTCCAGACCGCCAACAGATAACTGTTGTCAGGAGGCACACGCATGGCAACCATCACGCTTCCATAATTTGACATGTCCACCTTTATAAAAGACGTGAGGTCGGATGCGCCGACAGACAACTGGGACCAGCTACTGCCACTGTCGGTGCTCCTCCAAAGCTTGCCGCCGTTGCGAACGGATGCGATCATCTTGCTTCCGTCTGCTGATACGGCCACATCGGTCCAATCCTTTGTTGCACCGACGGCTTGCTCCAAGAAGGTCGCACCACTGTCGGTGCTGATCCATATGTTGGCATTCAACGCAACGGCCACAATCGTCGAAGCGTCTCCAGAGACGGCGATGGATTGCCAGTCCTTGGAGCCAGCACTTGAGTCTTCGGTCCAAGTTGTCCCGGCGTCAGCGCTCGTCCAGATGTTGCCACCGCCTGCGGTTGCAGCAATCACCGAACAATCTTCCGAGCAGCTGACACTGTTCCAGCCCATAGGCCCCCCGGCGGGGTCAACCACGCTCCAGCTTGATCCACCGTCACGGCTGATATGGATGTAGCTCCCACCGGCTCCTCCGACAATCGTCGTGCCATCCAATGACATGCTGAAGCTGTTCCATGACACCGCCTCCGCAGTGCTTGCAGCAGCAAAAGACGACCCACCATCCAAGCTGATCCACGGTTTCTCGTTGTGTCTTGCGACCACAATTTTCCAGCCACCATATGACACTGCACTTGCTTCAAACCATCCACTTCCTGTGAAAAGGCCGCTGGCGTCCACCCATTGGGACGCAACGTGCGTCACGCACGTCATAGTGATCAAGGCGAACATTGCAAGCGCAGGTTACACAGCTACGCAGCTACGCGCAATTCACGACTATGCCTGGGACTCTAGCTCTAGCCCTCCGAGAACTTGAAAGCCGAGCATACAACATTCCAGGTCTTGGCCCTCTGCACGAGAACTTGTGACATCTAGACACAAGACAATTCTCGGCAGCCCACAGGATCTTGGTGTAGAACTCGATGTTCAGGCCGTGCATCTGCAGTTCAAGTTAGGTTGTTATTGTCATCCACATTTTCCGGCAGCGGCTCTCACGCCTCCTGCACAATCTAAGTTAAACAGCAACGAAGCTTCCTACCCACAATGACAATGGCTGGCACGCCCGCCGACAGAGGAACTGCAGGGGTCTGCAGTCCGCAGTCTCAGCCCAGCACTTTGACAGCTCTCATCGGTCACAGTCGCTTGCGCAGCTTGCGAGCTTTCTCCTGCCGAACCTTGGTGCGTAATGCACTGCAAGGCACCCTCCGTCTTTTATTGGAAGAATCTGGGGTGTGATGAATACAATGAATGCACAGACCACCTTTGCGATATTTTCTGTTTCGACACATCTCGACTCCGGCAATGCATCAGAACTGCCCACCACCCTTCTGAGCGTGACGGCCCACATGTTTCGGACGGTGAGCACCACTACCACGACAAGGATCCCCAGGAGGTTGGCATGCCAAGCCTGCAGCACGAGCCAGATCATGTCACCAGCTACGGAGAGGTGCCAGTAGGGCTGTAGGGGCCCATGCGCCACACCCAGTTTCAGGACTTCAGGGCCCCCGGCCAAGAAGTGCGATGCAGCGTAGCACTGCAGCCCGAGGAGCAGCAAACCTGTTACAAGCTTTGAGCCAGTGATGCATCGCCGACCCTGCTCTGCTTTGCCTCTCAGGATGAACTGTGGCCAACAGTTGGAATAGAGTGGAAGAGGATATGGGTCCTGGCCAGGCGCCACCGCTGCGCCCGCACTGCGTGGAAGAGCGACAAAAGAGGCCCGTCCTCTTCTTTCGGGTTTTGACCTCGGAACATACAGCGCAAAAGCCGTCATGGAAGTCATGACTCTTTCGACTTCACTATCTTCAAATTTCGGTGCTGCCCTGCTGAGCTTAGATACAACAGGATGCGACTCGGTAGGGCTTGTTCGGCCCGGGCGACACAAGCTGCAAACTGTGCCATCGATAAGCCAGCGTGACCCCGTCTTGCTGAGCGCGGAACAGAGCACCCATACCTTCTCGACGAGCTCTTCCTGTTATGCTTTTTGAAATATCTCAGGCCCGGCGCAGCATGGAGACTCACGGCGTTCTTCCCAATGCCTTCTCGAGGCCGACGATGGCAGCAGGGTCGTAGCCCTCTTGGCCTGACACCGATGCCCAAAAGCAATGAGAGATGCGAGCCCGCCCTGCTGAAGGAACTTCCCTCTCAAGTGGCAATTGCGCGATTCGATTTCCTACGTAGGCTTTCTGAAGTCTTGCTGCTGGAAGCAGAGCTACGGACGTTGATCCGGCGATGGCCGCTGCATGTCACATCATGGCGAGTCCAGACCGAGTCGGCGACTCAACATCTCTTTCAGCTGCTTCACTGACCTGCCAACGGAACTGCTGGAATTCGACGCCATTCAGGATCAAGTGCAACGGTCGGCGTGGTCCGAGCCCCCAATGCATGTTTCCGCAAGCCCTGAACCAGAGTGCATCTGCTGACCGACTAATCTTGCCTGTTTTTCAGCTCCTGCCGAGTCGCCATGGTGGCGGTGAACTGTTCGCGTCGTGATGTGCCCCCAAACCGCCCTGGTCGGTAAACATTCTGTCGGCATTACTCTCGGCGCAGAAACCTAGGACCTAGAACCGACAACCCGCTTTGTCAGATCGGCGGTTTTGATCTGTCGCAAGAAAATCTGTACGAACTCTAATGTCGCAAGTACTTCTATCGAGCCGGACAGCAGTGAGAAGTCTAAGATGGTCTGGGGCACAGGGCCACGTTTACTTCCTGGCTCGACCACGGCCAAAGGCAAAATTTCGGCTCGCAGCGATGTCACAATTCAGTGTTGGCCGGAAAGCCATCCGCGAAAGAGCAAGCCTTGTCTTGCACTGCCCGCACTGTCAGAAGGAGCCCTTGGCCTTGGCGAAACTAAAACCTCGTCTCAGGTCTGTTAACATTGCCGACTGCCATCCCTTAATCGAAAGCTCTGGGGCATAAAGGTGCAAGAATCTCGAAAGCGGGGGGCCAAGCCCTAGACAGTGTGCATTCAAGTTGGAATCCGGCGTGTGCGACTGGAGGAGCACTCTGGATCTCATCATACATGAGCAGGCAACCCAGTTATGTCACGGCACAAGCAGTGTAAAATCGACAGGCTGTACTGGCGCGTTAATCTGTCATCAGCTTACACATTGTTTGGTGTTTCTGGCAGGGGTCTTTTAGCCTTTAGCATACCAGATGCACATCTACCACGTGGAAGAGTTCAGGAGGAGAGGCAGGCGAGTGTTCACATATGAGATCCTCACTCTGGACTTCTATACTCAAGACTAGATTCAAAACCCAGCACTTGTCCAACTCCACCTCCAAGAAGAAATGGCAACGTGAAACCCTCGGTAAGGTGCTGGGCGGTGCGGCGGTGGGTCACTCCCACTGCGGGGTGAGGTCCACGTCGAGTTCATCTCAAACTCCGACAAGGCGGAGAAACTCAGACGAGATTACGATGGCATGCAATTCCAACCTGAATGGATGCGAAGTGCATTGATGCGCATGTGCACATGTAGATGTGCACGTGCATGTGAATATGTATATAATTTGATATACTCAAGCATGTCACAGCTGGGTTCTCGACCTCCAGGATGGAACCTGCTACTGATCAGAGGGACATGCGGGAACATGTTCCACGGCCCCCTGGCGTGATTCGTTGCGCCGCTCTGGAAGTCGTCAGCGCAACTCTACAGCCAATGTCCCGCTCGCGAAGAGACAGGCATTTCGTGGCTGACAACGTGCAAGTCGCTCAACCACTGCTTTCGACTCAGCGACGCCAAGCAGAGGAAGCGACCACGGAAGGAGGGCAAGGGGGTGTGGGCTCACGGTGATGGCTGGACTTATCAATCCAAGATAATCCAAGCTTAGGCGCTTCAGGTTCAAAGCCCTTTGGAAAGTCCCCCTCGCTTGTCGGAAGGGAGTCTGCTTCGGGTCCATCCCTAGCAGATCCATTCTCTGAACAAAATCACGAGGCAATGCTGCCATCGCCTCCTGTACAATGTCGGCCCTCTCAGCCAGTCGGGCGAGTGGCACTGAAAGTAGCCAAGGCACGTCGACAGCGTCGTGCTGCCATGCCGGTGCCGGCTGGCACGTAAACTCGAAGATTTGCAGTGGCTACTGGATCCAATCCACCGTCTCTCCGGCAAGCGCTCCTCGTCTTTGACATGGGCTGCTCTACCCGGAGAGCGGCGTAGCGTCCTGTTCACCCGTGCACTACTTTCGTCACTGTCTCTCCCAAGCGTTGCGGTAGAGTACTGCGAATCTTCCACGGCACCTGTGTGGTGCGGTCCACAACATGCTGACGAGCGGAAAACATCTGACTGCTGCACTGATGCTGGAGCAAGAGAGGCCCATAGCAAACGATACGTACGACGTGAGCTCGAGGTCGATTTCCCGTGACTTCGACCGTCAGAAAAGGTATGACATGGTATGACAGCTATCACGAAACAGCATCGGGCAGGTCAGCTCCACTGAACTGAAAAAGGGTCGTGCATCCATCGAATTTGAAGTATTGGCTCTCGGGCTTCCACATCTCTCAACTTTGGGGCAGCTGGAAACCCATGGTACGTGCTTCCAGGCGCTTGCCAAGGTTCAAGCAGGTGATCCGGTGGGGCATCCAGAAAGCAATTCAAGGCCCATCTTGAAAAGGAGCTGTCTGCTATGCATTGCCTTGACCGCTCTGGATGGAAAAAACATTGCTCTGCAACGCTGAGTGCTCTCACGTGGTCTCATTCATCTTTACAGCACGCGAGTTCCTGCACAAGTGGCGTCCAAAGAAAGACAACGCAGCCTGCGGTCGCCTGCGAAACCCAGCGGTGAAAACCATAGGGCTCGTCTGAGAAGCTGAAGTCCCTAGCTCGCCCTCGTGCAGGGCATCGCGGGCAGCCTGCAAAAGCTTCGAATCGTGGTTCTGCCCAGGGCAGCCTTAGATCGAGGCCGCTCACTACTGTAACCCCGTTGTTCAGCTGCGCCGCTTGGGTTTCCTCTACAGGTCCCCGAGGAAGCTTACACTGCCACTGCCCGGCCCTCAAGCTTTCCGCCCTCGAGTCTGCGTCCAAGATGCGCTCACGCTGGGAGGCCTACCTTGGGCTTCCAGCATTTCAAGATTTACTACAGATGTTTGCTGCGGCGCCATGTCTCCTGGGTCAGGGTTCGTTCTCCGAAGTGAGAGGCCCGCCAGAAAGCCAGCAGAAACACAGAATTCCAGCAATCAACTTCTTGATTCGAGGCACTCCCGCGTGCTCCCCTTCATGGCATAGCAGAGACTATCGCCTGACAGCACACAAGACGACGGGTGCAGGACGAAATAATTGGAAATCAAAAGGTGTGCAGGCGCCTGCAACTAGGATGAGAGCAGACAACCTGAGCCTCTTTGAGAAACGCAAATAGTCAGACAAATCTGAGGTCACAGAACACTTCAGGGATGTTATGACAAAACACGGTGCGTACAATTTAACTCGGAACTGCGAAGACTAAAACCACGAGACTTCGAGACTGCAAGCTCCATACTCGACACACGCCATCGCGAAGGGAAAATGACGAGAGGCACATGCGAAAGCAATACACGCACGTAGCCATGACATGACTTTCTGATCTGGGGGGTGCGCTTCACGACAGGATTCTTCCTGCACCTCGGCCATCGCGAACGATTGCGAAAGTCTTGGGTCAAGAGTCAGGAATCTAACCTCGGGCAGGCGATACCAAGCCGACAAACCACAGAGACGATTGCAGTTGTCTGACGTCTGCCTTATTCTGCCTCTTTCTTCTCAAAA